TTAGAATCTTCATGTTTTCGTGAATGCTTAGCTAAAGTACAACTTTGTGAACAGTTGTACCAATAAGTATATTTATTATGATTTTTTTGGGATCTATAGGCTTTGTGGTAACTAAAATTAAATGATACCGATCTTATTAGTAAATATATAATACTAAATAAGTATTATCAAGAAAAAACTTGTAATTAGATATATATGTATATCTAATTACAAGTTTTCTCTTGATAATACCCAACAAATATATATAAATTATAAATCATTAAAACAAATTAATAGTCACGTACATATAGTAATATCCATCAGCTGATCCTACTATTTCAGCAATTGCTTTTCCAAGTTCGTGAGGTTCACTTTCTAACGAAGTAGTTGATATTTCACACCGAAATTCTATACCAGAATTTTTATTTTCTATGTGCTCATCATTTCCAACTTGAAGAATATATTCGAATAATATTTTTTTTTATTTCTTTTGGCTCAATAGGATCTTGAACGTTAGAATTTTGAACATTAGGATTTTGAATATAAGGATTTTGAATGATAGAATTTTGATCGCAAGATATATTTTTATTAAACTTTGTGGCGTAGTAATTTTTTAAATCTTTATTTCGATACTGACAACATGTTTTTGTAGACTTTTCAGTTTTACTAACAAAAGCCGTTTTTTCTAAACTTTTACTACATCGACCACACTCGCACATACTGTTAGACATCATTTAATTTGGTAAAAAAATTTTTTACGTTTTAGCAAATACTTTCGCTATAAATATAGTATCAGTGATAAGTAAAGTGATCTAAATGTAATACAAAATTTAAAAGTGAAACATACTACATATGTACATATGTACGATGTACATATGTACGATGTACATCTAATAAATTGTTAGTAAAATATTATTGGCTAGAATTGGACACAAATATCGTGATTGAATATGTAAAATTCTATTGGTCAAAATGTAGTACAAATCTTGTGTTACTGAGAATTTTTGGTGGTGCTCTTGGGGTAGTTGTCAGTAGCAATTCCCTTTGAAGATCGTCTAAAACCAGAGGTAGTTTTTAAGTTGATTAATAATAATAAATTTGTAATTTAAAAGTCACGTGAGGCATATAAATTACTACCTGGCTTTAGATGATCCCAAATTAGTTACAAAATGGTGTCACAAAAATGGTTGTATGTACAGTCAGCCCCCCAAAAAATGGATATAATAAGGATATGCTTATAGAAATATTAGATTAAATATGTTGAAACTTAATAACAATATAAATTTTATAAATTGTAATTATAGCCATTATGCAATATATACAATATACATATCTAAAACATTCTATGATCATGAACCCGCCACATCACTTTACTCTGCACTCTTATTTTTGGTTTTTTTTTTTGCATAAAAACAAATAATTAAACCTTTTTCATTATTTAGTTAATACTTGTACATAATTTCAAATACCTGAGATGATGAATATAATGAGCAAAACTTTATGGTTTATATTTATATGAAAAGTGTAATGTTCTTCAAAGTAATTGTGGTGGCTAATGCTGAATCTGAACCTATTTTCATATAAAATTAAAAAAATTTTTGGGTTGGGTTAGGATTTAGAGTTATAATTGATAATAAAAAGTATATATATTTAAATTTTAGTAGGCTTATATTTCAAATCAAGACTTCAAATTTCGGCACCAGCCAATTTCAGCATTATCCTACAGTAATTTTGTGCAATAAATTTTTTAGACCATTTATTTTTTGTTATAGCATGTAAAATTTAATATAGTTTTAGCATATTTGCCCTTTGCAATAATTTATTTTGATTATTTATAGTTTTCGTTTCTTGAAACAAGAAACTAATTAATAATTCCCTTCTATAACTTCTATAAAATAAAATAAATAAAAAGATTAAGGAAATTCAAAAATGATTATGATCATATCACATTGGAATATTTCCGCTAGTTAAATCTACTATATGCAGTACCATAAAATTAATTTTTTTTATTTCGTTATACTTCTTATTCGTTTTATTATGCTTACAATAAATAAAAGGATAATAGTTAAACTTCTTATATCAAATCATGTGGATAAATAAATTTCACTTAACATCATTTATATAGTATAACCAATTCAGTTTTAAATCT